TGAAATCATGAAAAGCAAATGAAGCAAAATTGCAAATAATATGAAAGAAATAAATCAAACACAGTGGTTTTTAAAGGAACACCACAAGGTCCTCTAAAAATTTAAAAATCTGACACAGATCACCTGGGGGCATTTAAAGCTGCATGCCTCCAGATGAGCGAAAAATATTTCAAACTTGAGAAAAATGTACTAAGATTTTAGGACAAGTAAAAATAGTCAAGATTCAAGTAATAATATACATGTAATGTGCGATTTATGATTTATAACTATATTTCCACTATTTTTACAAACGCAGTAAGGGCTATTTTTGCATATTTTGTCCTCTTTTTGCTAATTTAGTGGGTTGTTAGTGCCATTGGTAATGTGTTAATTTGTTCCTTTTGGTTATTATACCCCCAAAAACGAAGTTTGGGGGGGTATATAGGAGTCACCCGGTGGTCGGTCGGTCGGGCGGTCGGTCGGTCGGTCGGTTGGTCAAGACGTCCGTTGCATTTTCCTTGTCCGGAGCATAACTTGAAAACTAATGGTTGGAATTCAATATAACTACATACAATGGTCAAGCACATTGAGAGGAAGTGCAGTGCACAAGAACCATAACTCTATCTTGACTAATTACAGAGTTATTGCCCTTTGTTACTTTTCCTTGTCCGGGGCATAACTTGAAAACTACTGGTTGGAATTCAAAACAACTTCATGCAATTGTCAAACACAATAAGGGGAAGTGCAGTGCACAAGAACCATAACTCTATCTAAAGTAATTACAGAGTTATTGCCCTTTGTTGCTTTTCCATTGCTTTTTTTTTTGTCCGTTGCATTTTCCTTGTCCGGAGCATAACTTGAAGACTAATGGTTGGAATTCAATATAACTACATACAATGGTCAAGCACATTGAGAGGAAGTGCAGTGCACAAGAACCATAACTCTATCTTGACTAATTACAGAGTTATTGCCCTTTGTTACTTTTCCTTGTCCGGGGCATAACTTGAAAACTACTGGTTGGAATTCAAAACAACTTCATACAATTGTCAAACACAATAAGGGGAAGTGCAGTGCACAAGAACCATAACTATATCTAAAGTAATTACAGAGTTATTGCCCTTTATTGCTTTTCCATTGCCTTCTTTTTTTTGTCCGGACCATAACTTGAAGACTAATGGTTGGAATTCAATATAACTACATACAATGGTCAAGCACATTGAGAGGAAGTGCAGTGCATAAGAATCATAACTCTATCTAAAGTAATTACAGAGTTATTGCCCTTTATTACTTTTCCATTGCTTTCTTTTGTCCGGACCATAACTTGAAGACTAATTGTTGCAATTCATTATAACTTCATACAATGGTCCAGCACATTGAGAGGAAGTGCAGTGCACAAGAACCATAACTCCATTTTGACTTATTACAGAGTTACTGCCCTTTGTTTCTTTTCCTTGTCCAGAGCATGACTTTAAAACTACTGGTTGGAATTCAAAACAACTTCATACAATGGTCAAGCACAATAAGGGGAAGTGCAGTGCACAAGAACCATAACTCCATCTTGACTAATTACAGAGTTATTGGCCTTTGTTACTTTTCCATTGCTTTTTTTTGTCCGGACCATAACTTGAAGACTTATTGTTGGAATTCATTATAACTTCATACAATGGTCAAGCACATTGAGAGGAAGTGCAGTGCATAAGAACCATAACTCGATCTTGACTAATTACAGAGTTATTGCCCTTTGTTACTTTTCATTGTCCAGAACATAACTTGAAAACTACTGTTTGGAATTCAGTACAACTTCATACAGTTGTCAAGGACATTAAAAGGAAGTGCAGTGCACAAGAGCCATAACTCCATTTTGACAAAATACAGAGTTACTGCCCTTTGATACTTTTCCTTGTCCGGAGCATAACTTAAAACATGCTGGTTGGAATTCAAAACAACTTCATACAATGGTCAAGCACAATAAGAGGAAGTGCAGTGAACAAGAACTATAACTCTATCTTCAGTATTTATAGAGTTATTGCCCTTTGTTCTTTTTCTTTGTCTTTCTGGACTTATTACAGATTAATTCAATTAAACTTCATCAATGGCCAACCACATTGAAAGGAAATGCAACATATATGAATTATCTTTAATTGCCCACAACCATATCTCTATGTTTCAATTATATTACAAGGTATTCTGTTACTAGTAACATCCTCATTTCCGAAGCAGACTTGTGGGGGTATTAATCACATTTAGTGATAGTTCTAGTTTCACTAGATAATACTTTTAAACACAGTCATATTCAAAATTTTGATGAAAATAAGCATTAATCTGGAGGAGTGCTGCTTTAAATAAAAAAAAAATTAAAAGTGATAAAGAAAATTACTCAGAATAAAACTAACAAGAGCTGTCGGTAGGACAGCACGCTCGACTATTCTAAGTGCTTGATAGTAAAAGAGCCTTGATAATGTTAAATTTTCAAGATCACAAAAGGGCTAATTTTTTTTAATAAATTCATGCTATAGGCCTTAGAGAGAGTCTAATTATACAGTATTGGCTTGACTATTCGGAAGGTAATGTCACAAGGGTGTTCTATTGAGTATAATAATACTAATTACCTATGAATACATAAATTTGACAGAAAAGGTACAAAGGCTTCTAATTAAGATGTTTTATCAAATAAATCACTGCTTTATTATTATGAATGCATAAAATTGTCCCAAAAAAAGGCACAAAGCCTTCAGTAGTAATTGAGATAACAGCTTACAAGCAAAACTTTACCATGAATTTCTAAGTTGAAAAAGGGGAGAAAAATCAGCCTAAATGCAAGATAGAATTATGGATCTTTGTCAATGACCTACAATTATGACCCTAAATGCATATGTGAAGTTTTAAATAAATATCTTTAATAGTTATTGAGATATGTAAAACTTGCATGTAAACACTAACCAAGAGACTAAGTAGAAAAGGGGATATGAATCAGCCTTAATGCAAGATAGAGTTATGGAACTTGGTCAGTGACATACAATTATGACCCTCCAATTATGACCCTAAGAGCATGTGTAAAGTTTCAAGTAAATATCTTTGAAGATCTTTAACCAAAATCTCTAAGTTTCAAAGGGGGCAAATATTTCTGCAAATATTGCGGGCAGAGTTATGCAATTTTGCAACTGATGTACATTGTTACTAAAAAAAGTATTTTAAATTTCAATTGAATATCTCAAGCAATAATTGAGATATTTGACTTTACAAAAAAACTTTAACCAAAATTTCTAAGTTCCAAAGAGGCATTATTATGTCAATATTGTAGGCAGAGTTATCTTACTTGTCAATCTTATGTACCTTGTTACTATAAATAAGTATTGAAAGTTTCAATTGAATATCTCGAGCAATAATTGAGATATTTGACTTTACAAAAAACTTTAACCAAAATTTCTAAGTTAAAAAGGGGCATAATTCTGTCAATATTGTAGGCAGAGTTATCCAACTTGTCAATCTGATGTACATTGTTACTATGAATAAGTATTGTAAGTTTCAATTGAATATCTCAAGCAATAATTGAGATATTTGACTTTACAAAAAACTTTAACCAAATTTTCTAAGTTAAAAAGGGGCATAATTCTGTCAATATTGTAAGCAGAGTTATCCAACTTGTCAATCTGATGTACCTTGTCACTATAAATAAGTATTGTAAGTTTCAATTGAATATCTCAAGTAATGATTGAGATATTTGACTTTACAAAAAACTTTAACCAACGCAGACGCCGACGCAGACGCTGACGCCGACACCGGGGCGACTACAATAGCTCTCATATTCTTCGAATAGTCGAGCTAAAAATCAATTCACATATTACGTATAAATCTTGATTTAAAAGGAAATTATGAACAAATATTTGAGCCGTGTCACGACAAAACCAACGTAATGCGTTTGCGATTAGCATGGATCAAGACCAGCCTGCGCATCCGCGCAGTCTGATCAGGATCCATGCTGTTCGCTTACAAACCCTATAACAAGTAGAGAAACTGATAGTGAACAGCATGGATCCTGATCAGACTGCACGGATGCGCAGGCTGGTCTGGATCCATGCTGGTCACAAATGCATTACGTTGGTTTTGTCATGACACAGCTCATTTTACTTTTAACTCATTTATTGCAGCATATGAATTTACCACCTCATTCTTATTGATGAAGTAGCAACATTTTAAGCACACAATTTAGTTATAAAAGATGCTAAAATAATGTTATTTTAAAGCATGTAGCTTAACGCCTCTTCCCCTATTGGCTAGATGAAATATATAGCATGGGAATAACAAATGGAAACAGCAGTCCAATATGCAAGAATAGTCCTAAACTTGACTTTGTTTAATGGATTCACTCAGCTCTGAATCTTGGAACAGTCAATTCAAAGTTTAAGGAATTTCAAAAAATGAGCTACAAAAATTAAGCTACCAACAGTATAGAGTCAGCGGCTTGGCCAAGTGGTTATCGCAACAGACTAGTAATCTAAGGATCATGGGTGCGAATCCCGTTTGGTTCCTGAGGAACGGATTTGAGAGTGTTTCTATAAGTTTATACCTTTCAGCACAATCAAACTAAAATAAGCCATGTCACGACAAAACCAACATAGTGCATTTGCGACCAGCATGGATCCAGACCAGCCTGCCCATCTGCGCAGTCTGATCAGGATCCATGCTGTTTTGTTACTAACCCAATTACAAGTAGAGAAACTGATAGCGAACAGGCTGCATGGATCCTGATCAGACTGCGTGGATGTGCAGGCTGGTCTGGATCCATGCTGGTTGCAAACACACTATGTTTGTTTTGTCGTGATGCGGCTCAAATAAACTAGTATAAACTAAACAAAACTAACAATAAAGAGAGATTGGTCAGTCTGCACTGAGTTCCAGCTAGCCAGTGGCTGTATACTGTTGGGAAAGGGCAATCACTTTTGCTTTATAGCCGGATAATTTGATTAGCTAGACATTATATCTAAGTCTTATTAATTAATACATTTTTTATTTTCTTCCAGAGACTGGACTCTATGACAACACTAGTGTTTAATGCTAGTACATTACGAGAACTGAAATATGCCATTATGGAAGTGTTTGATCTATTCTACGATATTGTCACAGAACCTATCAATTGCTACGCAGATCTCAAGAACAGATTAAAGTCTCTGGTACGTATGCTGATATATGGTAACAAAATTTTCCAAGTATTCATTTGCAAAAAGTCCAACAACAACACATGGTTTATTTTCAACATTTATTTACGTGTTTTGCTAGATACCGGTACTGTAGCTTTATCTGAACATAACTGATGTGTCGTCAAATAAACAATGTAATGCCATATGGCAGCAAAATATAACATTACATAATGTACATTATTGTAAAAAAAGTGTAAACAAATGCCATTCGTACGGATATCTAATACAAAAGTTTCCTATAGTTAAAATATGTAAAAACCTGTTGTGTTTTTTTTAAACAATTTGTATAGTGTAAAGAAAAGTAATGTTAGACATCACAATCAAATTCAGTATCAATTTTTAGCATTGACTAAGTAAATGAAGCTTCATTGGTATAGGTCAAAACACATATGGCATAGGTCACAATGTAAACTGAAAAAGATAAGTGATTATTGTTTGGCTTTTTATTTATATTGACCTTTCAATTACCTTTTGGCAGTAATTATCAGATTCTAAAGTAAACCTGTGCAAATACGATTCCATCATTCTTACCATTAGGCCATCAGGCTGTAAGTGAAATAAAAGGTTTGGAGAACAATCTTATCCTTAAAATCCTGTACATAAATTGTAATAAATTACGGTAACTAACGAAAAACTTCCTGACAATTAATGAGTTTCTGGTCAATATTGCCAAACAATACCAACTTATCTCTGAAATCAAAAGGGCCTAACAAATATTTTATGAAGATGTTTAACATTACTTAAAAATATAGTGTGTGTGTATGTTTTCTTTCAGAACGAGAAGAGTTGGGATAGGATTAGAATGACCTACATACAGAGTACAGAGTATAAAAGTGGGGACTTTACAGATGTTGAGAACAGTAGTGTAGTTAAAATACTCCTCGATTTTATATCAATGCTTGATAAATCCTCTAAAACTGTGTTCACAAAAGTGGAGGTAAGTGAAAGGAAGCAAAATTGTTGTTTTTGTTGTTTTTTGTTGTTGTTTTGTGTGTTTTTTTTTTTTGGGGGGGGGTCATAAGGTCAAATGTCAAGGTGATTGTTTTTTTTTTATTCTGTGAAAAAGTCAACAGTTTCTGCTATTAAAATTATTTATAAAAATTTATTTCAACCTGAAATTCTGGAATAAGTTACTTAGCTTCCATTGGTTTAGACATTAGAGTTTATGTTTTTTCATAACTGTTGATTATTTTTAGATTGTTCTTTTTGTTATTTCTGTGTACATTTTAATTTTATTTACTGCAATGCAAAATATTTTTTCTTAAAGGGACTCCACTAAAGTTTTTGACATGACGGGACTGGAAATTATTTCTGAGTATATAGTTAAATTACGTTTTGCATATACATGTATTTCTTTTTTAAGTAACCCATTTGAATTTTTGTAAGATATTCAAATTTTATGTTTTTAGACCTTAGTGGAGTTCCTTTAAAACTAAACTTGACTTAAACCATAATCTTTCATACAAGCTTTTGAATTAGATCCTTTTCCACAACTGATTTGTAAAATTACATTTTTATTTATCTTCAGGAAAAGCAAAATGAAATTTTGGCAATGGAGGGCAAAGTTAACACCTGTGAGGGTATGTAATTATTTGATTCAGTCTTGCAGATCTGGGATTCCTTTGGGGTTCTTTGTGGAGTGGGGAGATGGGGGGCTGGGGGTTTATGAGTTTTAAGTCATATCAACACCAACAATTGCCATTCTTGCAGATTAATTTGGGAAGTGGACCTTGATTTTATTTCTGTGTATCTATGTGTATTACTCCAGATTGGAGCAGGATTGCAAACTTTCAGTAAGATAGCTGAATAGCCTTTACACCAAAAATTTATCATTATAGAGAAATGTGATACTTCTTATATGCTCTTTTAATGCATTAAACATTAAATCTGTTAAATATTCTCTATGAGTGATTATATATTAGTCATTTCCTTGTCCATGACACCATACCTTTCACATTAATCATTTATTTTCACACCCTCTGTTTAATGTACTTGCCTTTCTTTTATTTTTCAAGCTGTCTCTTCACTCATACAAAGATATCAATATTTCAAAAAATTGTGAACAGTATAGAGTATATTGTTAGTCTAGATGCATTGATTTTCTAACTTAAACCATGGACTGTACTTCAATTGCTTTGATACTGATACTCCCTTAACCATATTGTAACCATATTGATTTCAATTGCTAAGATACCCTTTGAACCATATTAATGCATTATTATTTGACTTTTTCATCAGAATGCTTAACTTGTGTTATCAAATGTCTGAATTTTGGTCCATGTATCTTATCCGAACATTTCAGACATTAATTTAGATCTCTCATCAAATTAGATATTCAAATTTCCATATGCATATACGTTTAGCTCATTATTATCCATTTATGGTATACATGTATTGTGAAAAAAGTTTTTGCAACTTGTATTGACCTTTAACCTGCAGAATTTCTTCAATAGACTTGTCCAGTTTTCATTTTTGGAACTATATAGGGAAATCACCATGAAACTTTTTCAGCAAACAGTATTCAACTTATTAATGGTGGCATAGGCTTATCACTTTTTCAGCAGGACAAGGTTTGATCACATGTTTGGTTCATTTCCTAGACCTCATCAGTTCCCCTGCTACAAGGATGCACAGTTGTGACCCAATAAGTGCTCAAACCCATAATCCCTGACTTTAGAGCCACATACCTTAACCACTGGACTTATTGCTCCCTTATAAAAAGAATAGAAATCTCATTATTTGTCCCTAGCTTATAAATGTTTAAGGTCCAAGCCTGTCATATTTGCTGATAATGAGCAAATATTTAACCCAAATGGAAATAAAGTATACAAAAGTATTTTATTTATTCACAGAAAGGATCAAGAAGATGGATGCAGTGATAGAATCACAGAAGACATTTTACGATGAGAAGATGGTACAGAACAGTGATTATGCTGCACAAAACATCCACCTTTTACAACAAATATCTGAGAAAAATAGACAGATCACAGAGTTAGTATAGTATTATGTAATCGCTGTTTCTAACAAATAATAAAAAAATATAGGTAACACTGTATATTTATTACAATTGCTTTTCAGAGGACAGTCAAATTATATTTTGATAATATAATTTTCACAGTAGCCGGACAATATCTGAATGCGTATGAAAAGAATATATCTTAAATAAGTGGAAATATCGCCAGAAATGCAAACCATCATGAATTAAAAATGTGCTTGATTATGAGAAGCAGATGAATATCTGCACATATCATTCTAAAAATGTAACATAATTCGTACAAGTTTACAGAATTATTTAACAAAAAACAATGTGACGATGATTTCATGAGGTCATGAATGAAAGCGCATTTTATTATAAATATAAATTTTGTTTTTTATAAATCTTCCAAGATTTTTGGAAATGTTTCCATGATATGTATTTGTATGCTTTTTATTAGGTTAGAAAAAGATAATAATAAACAACTTTGGGAGAGAGAAAAACAAAGACTATTGAAGGAATCTACAGAAAAGTATGTATTTATTTTATTACAAAAGAAGAAAGGTTTTTGTTTAAAGTACTGTGAATTAATAAAGTTTATCTCAAGTATACACTGGAAAATTTTCTATTGTATTCATTTCTGTGGCATATTGTGTTTGACAATATATAGTGCACAATTGTGAAAGATAACTTGGCTTTAACATAGTTACAAAATGTATAATAAATCATAAGAATAAGAAAAATTAATTTGCTATTTGAATAGAACTGGGACATATTATTAAGGAACAAGCAATTACCAAGTTGATTAGTGATTTTATGCTGGGTTCAAATTTACTAATCGTTTATCTAATATTTATGTTGTCATTATAAAAATTTTGCACGGATAAATTTTTCTTAAAATTGTGTAAAAACCAGTTAACTACTAAAAGACTGTTACATTTTACACCAGTTGGCTTGTATTTCCTTCATTTACCCTGTTTATAGACAAAAAAACCTTTCACAATGATCAAGAAGACAAAATGCTTACACCTGATTGGATGATAGGATTACGTGGCGCTTATCAACAGTTGTTTGTCCTATTATATTATGCCTGAGATAGTGATGGTGTCCGGATCATAATAAGCCACATTGAATTTACTTAGAGCACAGTTCAGCCACTGCATCGTTCCTGGGCAGGCTGTCAAGCAGTTTACCAGTACTAGTTACCTTCACTTTCGCAAGGAACCTAAAACTTCTGTACATGACAGAGCAGTGGTAAATGACCGCAGAAAGGATTTCATGATCAATCGCAATGAAAGAGACCTGCACAGTCAAGGTTTGGAACCCAGAATGGCACAAAAATAATCTTATAATTCACAGAATTGTTGAGTGATTATAAATGGTTTAGTGATTTTTAAAATGTTGTCATATTTTAAGTGATGTTCCTGATCTATTTATAGAATCAAAATGTTAGAAGGACAGGTAGAGAGCATGCAGCAACAAATTGAAAGTTATAAAACAAGATTATCAGTAAGTTGTTTTTTAACTCCCCTTATTGGGAAAATATTACATAAATGTTATTATCTCCTTTTAAAAGTTGATCTTTATATCTCTAATTAAGACATTTATGCATATAATTTTTATCTACTCTAGAATGGAAATGTTATTATTAATCAACAAATAAAAATTAACGTAATTGTTATTATCATACCATGAAATATATTGTAAGGATTTCTCAGAAAAAGGCATTTTTATAAATGTCATAATCTCCCCTGATATACCATTGTGATTTTTCTGGAAAACTTTTTCTTTAATGTTGCAAAAACGAGTTCAAATTCCACAAAAAGAATCCCAAATTATGCTTCGCACTGGTCAAACAGTGGCTAAACATTTGCAGAATCAGTTTTAAAAGAACCAAACATTCCTTGAAAAATCTTATTGTCAGAATATAGACCCATTCTCATAAATTGTAATTTGCTTGAATATCCTTCAAATCATTTTTTAGTAGGATACTTTATTGTAGTATGAACTTGTCATTTTGTTTATATGAATTTATTTTAGTTTGATTGTGTTTGAAGCTGTAAGCTTATTGAAACATTTTCAAATCTGTTCCTTAGGAATCAACAAGTACTAAAAGCAATGAGTGTAAAGTTTCTTGCTCACGGAAACAACAGCTGGCCCCCTAACTTGTCATTTTACAGCATTTAACTAATCAGTAATAATACATCTATAGCATGGAAACAATTATGTTCATTATTTTTCTTTTATAATTTTTTTTGTATACATGTACAAAAACATACTTACTTTTTTTCAGACCAAGGATGATTCTTACAAACAGTTACGTATAAAGAATCAGCTACAGTCAGAGAGATTACACAGTCCTGTACCTTCTAGTGAAGATAGTGATGATAATATGAGCACCAGTAAACTTAGCCAGAAAAATTATATGCAAGATAAGGTAAACCTAACCAGAAAAAACTATATTCCAAGGAACAGTAATCTGTATGCAAAATAAGCCTGAAAAGTTACCGTATAACTGGTTATTTCTGCAGATAGCTAATTTCTGCAATATTTTGCAGGTCTCTTCCAGCCGCAAAAATTAAATTCGCAAATATTTCATAGTTTCATAATTTAATTTGTTATATGGATATATTTTATCATATGAAAATTATACTTTTTAATCTTGATACTTTACCTTTCTCTTCAAAGAACCCGCTCCCAAAACTTAAATAAGAAAATGCAGAAATAAATTTTTATAAACTTTTTAATGAAAAACGCAGAAATTAAATTCGCAAAAATTAATATACCTATTTTCAGTCCCAAAACGCAAAAATTTGCACTCACAGAAATTACCAGTTATACGGTATTTGCTATGATAAGTTCTGTACTAGAACTAGAAAATTCAAGTTCAGCTCTTTAATAATGCCACACTTTATGTAGAGTAAGGATGTCTTTTTTTGCTCTGAAAACAACCCTGATATATAGTTAATAATATTTAACATAATACTTGCACTGGAAATAGATGACACGAAGTTAGCTGAATGCCTTTAACATCAATGACACTTCTGTTACCATAGGAAAATAAAGAGATTAATTTTTAAGGAAGGTTTCAATCTGTTGACCTTTTGATCTTGGAGATTGATTTCTTATGGTCATTTTGTCTCTCATCGCTTGTAGAGAAATTTGTACATTTATGTAATTACTTAGTTATTCAGAGAAGTTGGTTAGCTGGATTGACCACTGACCTAATTATATTCATCAATGTGTTAAAATCAGCAAAAAAAAACAACAAAAAAACATATAAATAAATCAACAAATAGATAACTATAAACTTTTAATTCAGTTGTACAAAGTACATGTATATTATAAGGCATATAATATTATATTTCTGGTATTATTTTTAGGATATTGTATATTTAGAAAAGAAATTGTATGATCTACAAACAACAACATGTGGTGTTATTGGTGGAATCAAAACAGATTTTAAGTAAGTTTATTAAAAACTATTATACATGTATTATATATCTTTGCAACTTTTTTCCCCAAGGTGAGTTTTTGTGACTTCTTTGCACATCTGATACTTTCTTAACTCTGACCTGATGCTTAATATCTTAAATGGACCTGTCCATCGGTCAATATACACAAAACTGTTCATCATTTTTAGGGAATATGTAGTGAATTATTTAAAAAAATTTTTTAACCCACTGTGACTGTTCGGATGAAAGTCTATTTTAACCATTACTGATGTTTGTTTTTTTTTGCAATGGATTTTCCTAGCTTTGAATTAAGAACATTCCATTCTAAGTTTTAAGGTATTTAGTTACTATGCTCATCTTTGATATTTTTTGGACCGAAATTAATTGAAATCTAGGGAATTCTGAACATGTCTTATTTGAATAAAATAATGCAAGGGAAGCTGCATTCACAATTACTGGCTAGGGAAATTTGGTCCTCAAATCCTTAAATTCTTTTTTAAAAAAAGCTGATAGTTTTTTTTATTACATTATTATTGATACTATGTTTCTTACAGAGTTTAAAAAGATGTCTGCTCTGTATATCCTCAGAAGATGTTTATAGAAAAAATATAGCACCTATCAGTTTTTTTTCAGATATCAAATTTGATCATGATAGTGCAAAATCATTATTTTTCATGGGGCACTAATTTTTGTCATTCTCATGGATAGGTCAATCCCAAACAAAATTTCAGTTTGCCTGCTGTAAGATTATTTTGCATTACATCTTTTAGTATTATACTTTATGGAAAAATAGACAATCCATGAATCTAAGGATCCATGAGAATGATTGTCTTTTGTGACAAAAGCATGAAAGTTTTTGCCAAAAAAATTAAGTGAATTTACAGTGTCTATTTAAGGGATTTCAATATCATAATACAAAAGTTAAGCTACTGACAGAAGTAGAGACTGTTAGGACTGTGCATACGACAAAAGCCTATCACTTTCAGTGCCAATTGTTTCAAGGTTAAGTTTGGATTTCAAATATGAATCATTTATCAAATATTTTGTGCGTGTTAAAAGCATTATGAATATTTCATCAGACAGTTGGCTCACAAGTTTATTGACCCAGAAGAAGGTAAAGTGGATGAAAGTTTTAAACTTCTATCAACAAGAATGGATCGTGTTTATAAAGCAGTGGCAGATGCTGAAGTAGAAAAAGTAAAAGAAGTCCTGCCACCTCATTATAGATATCTCGAGGACGTAAGTGAAGTTGTTATACATAGCCATCCTAAATATATTAAATGGACTTGTCCATCTTTAAATCTGGACAAAACCATTCATCAATTTTAGGGGAAATTAAAAAAGAAAAAACACACACTCTGACAGAATAACCAACTCTGAATATCATGTTTAGTACAGGTAAAATTTGTAAATTCCTTGTACATTAAAACATTTTCCCTGCTGATCAGCAAATTTCCCGGGTACTTTTATGCAAAGAATCAATCCACGGCCTACAAACCCAAGGTTTTACTTTGATGCAATTTATCCAAAAAATAATGCATGGATGACACCTGAGTTTTCCCCTCCCCCAGAAAAACCAAATAATAAATAAGAAAAAATTGAAATTTTATATAACATACAGTATTTTTTTGTCAGCACTAGCTGTTGTCTATTGAACTAAAATTATGCTGGTAATGTTCGGGAAAATTTCAAAGTAAAGAAAAACAAGACTGTACACCCTTTCTCACCTTCTAAAAGGTTTTGTTTTTATTTAATGTCCATCCTCTTAGACAAAAGAAAATGTATTTTTTTGGTATTTTCTATTTTTTATTTTTTTTTAAAAACCTTTTTGGGTCCTGGGTTTTTTTAGTCAATGTAACAATTTTCTGAAAACCACTGTTGATTTGAATGAAGCTTTTGAAACTGTAAATTTATTGAATCAAGTGGTGGTGTTGGTAGTTTTCAGTCCAGATCACAGCAGTAAGCCACATTGAATTTATCAGAGCTCAGTTCAACCACCGCATCAGTCCTGGGCAGGCTGTTAAGTGGTTTACCAATATTACTTGCCTCTAGTTTGGCAAGGAACTGAAACTTCTGTACATGCCAAAGCATCGGTACAGTAGGAATGACAGAAGAAAAGATTTCATGATCAATCACAACAAAAGTGACAAGCACCGTCTGTGAATCGAACCTGGGTCGCCCAATTAACAGTACAACCCTGTACCTTGAGCAAATTGGATGGCTTTTATTGAATGAAGACAGGAGTTTAGGAATTTTGTATGTATCCACCAACATTATCCAGTGTTCCTCTACAAGTAATATGAGTAGCAAAGCCTAGTGAAGCCCTACTCCTATATGAATCATAGTCTTAGGGTAAAAATTTGACCTTGTTAAAATGTGACCAATTGACTTCTGCTTAGAAAAATTTGGAGTGTTTCTCGCTATAGATTTCAGATGAGCGATGTAAGGCCATCATGACCCTCTCGTTTTAATGATTTATCTAATTTGTTGCTTACTTTGCAGAATGTTAAATAGTGCTTTAGATGAGAAGAAAGCTGTATTAAAACCTATCCCACCATCACTAGAGAGGCAGTCAACACTGAATGGAATAAAGGAAGGTTAGTCAATCTAAACATATACCTGGTGACATACATGTATATTCATTTCAGGGTGTACTTTTCTGGATTTTGTTTACATTATGGAACAAGTGTGTTAGTGGATCTTATCTAGAATCATTTATAAAATTTCATTCTACTGAGAAAAAATGAGCCACGTCACTACAAAACCAACATAAAGGGTTTGCGACCAGCATAGAGAGAAACTGATAGCGAACAGCATGGATCCTGAACAGACTGCGCAGATGCGCAGGCTGGTCTGGATCCATCCATGCTGGTCCATTATGTTGATTTTGTCGTGACGCGGGCTCAAATAATTCTACTGGGAAAATTTCATTATACCAAGAGGTCTTAACATTTTGTGTGCTAGAAGAAATATCAGGTCTAGGACACATGTACCAAGTTAAATCAATGCACACATTGTTACTTTAGTGCAGAGGAAGGTAGTCTAGTACTGGTGTAACTCTCCAGGAACGATGTTTAGGAAACTAAACGACTATATGACTGAAATACTGTTGGGAAAAGCGTAAAATGAAACAAACAAACAAACAAAAACCTTAGTGCGCTAATGGGTTAACTTCTTATATAATTTTATAGGAATTAACCCATTACTGAACTAAGGTGACAACATCTTGACCATCTAAAAAGACCCATTACTGTCCATAACATTAACTTAGAATGTATCATTTTACATTGATATATCCAGTTATGGTAAGGTTACAGGTTAGTACTAGGTAGGACAAGGGGAGATAATAATAATCACATGTTAGGAAAAATAATGATATTTTTAACATGCTTTGTAAAATTTATTTTCAGTGCCAGTTAATCCAGTTATAATAGATCCAAAAACTAAGAAGTTACACGCCATCAATCCATTGAAATATTTCCCTTTTATGTCACAACAGTTTGTAAGTACATGTATAATGATTATTTTATATTTTAATCAACAATAACATTTTTTTTAAGCATTAAACACCTGACAGAAGCATATAGCCAATAATTAAAAATTGATGTCAAGTGGTGATTACCTGCCAAGTTAATAATCTTACCAAAGTTTCATGCATAGCTAATAAAGTAGGATTTACCAAAATATTTTACATTATGAGATATACTGCTATTACAATATACATATATTATATTATTACAGCAATAGATATATCTTTTGATCTTTGTGTATTCATATTTATTTTTCAAAATTCATACATGTATTTATTCAAATTATGTCAAAACATTGTATACGCAAATTATTGTATAAAACATTAATAGCTATTTCATTTTATCACAATATTACAATGTACTTGTACCTCTTTTGTGACCCTGTAAAAATGGTTTAGCCATGCATATATTTCAAAACTTTCAATCATCTAGACAAGTTTGATTGGGTAGTTATTTTTTCCGAAGGAAACTGTAATTATGTTATAATGTACAAATACCATTTCAGTTAAAAGATCAGTATGAAAAATTTAAACAATACGACATAAATGGTGACGGAACACTTGACTTAAAAGAGGTACTAATTTCTTTTCTTTATATAATTTATTTATCCTGTTAGTAGCATTTTGATCAAATTTCATCTAATTATACAAGTTACAATAATGACTAATACCATCACTATCAGCATAAAATATGATATTTTTTTTTTCATACTTAATTCTAAGGAATAAAATGATATTTTATGTTAAGACTAAATGAAAGTGGCATTTATGTTTTGGCTATCTCAAATAATAGTAAATGGCATTTTATGTTTTGGTTAAATTTAATAATAGTACATATGAGTATAAAAACAATATTTTTTGTTTCTTTAAAAGTTGTTACAAAATTGTAACTGTATGTTACATGTCATGGACATTGGCATTTTATATTCTGGCTAAATGAAACAGTTTTGTTTATTTAAAAGCAGTTCAACTAACTTTACAAAATTGTAACTATAATTGTATTTTGATGTAGATGATAGAGATAGTAAAGGAGTTGGGATTTGACTTTAACGTTCATCAGCTACAGGAAGCTATGGAGGAGGTTGACCGTGATGGCAATCATTGTATTGACTTCTTCGAATACATGCTCATCATCGATAACATCTACAGGAAAAGAGGTAACTTTAACTTTACTGATATCCTGAAAACACTGTTGTTTCTGTTGTTTCATCACATATCTGTGTCAATTTTGTGACTCCGTAAAAATGGTTGTGCATATATTTTGATGTGATGTCATTTGCGTTATACAAACATAGTGTTAAGACGTGCTAAATATTAGCATTACACTATAGGCACGTCATAGAAAAATTATTCTTCAAACACTCATTATTTTGGATATGTGATAAATAGAATATTATATTTGTGTAAGTTCAATACTGAATTTATTGAACTCATTGACTAAAATAACATTATGCTCGCCAGAGGCTCACATAATATAACTTTTTTCAACTAATTCAATACAGTATTGAACTTACACTCATTCAATATCCTCTATTTAGGACTATCTGATGATGATTATTAAGCAGTTTCATTAAAATCATATCCTAACTGTCACTCAAGTACCCTTCGATTTGTATCAAAGAGTAACCGAGCGAAAACGATGATCTGATTTTGGATTATTAAGATGTAAAATTCCACCTTGTCCTAAAGCATAGGTCTGAGGGTTTGATGCTAAACAATTCTAATTTATTCATACTTTACGAATTACAACCATTTTGCAGTTGTAATTATTGACCTACTAAATGGATGAGCTGGTCAGTTTTACTTTTTTTCCTATTTTATATCAATATTTCCTACCTTTACTTTCAGGGAAAGCAGAGTTATTCCAGCAAGGCATGAAGGAGGCACGGAGGAACAATATGTCAAAATCTTGTGTTGTTCAATGATCGAGAAGCATCCAATTTGCCTCAAAAATCAGTGCTATATAGTAATATCATGCAGTAAAATCAACATTTCTGCATTTTTGGAATCAGTTCTCACGTGAAAAAGAGAAAGTGCATATTTTTGAAGTTTCACTCATGATATCAAATGTTAAGCATTACTTTTTGAATGAACCATGAACATTTTTATCACTGTAAATGCTAAACTTAGGTTCAACATTAATATCTGACTTAATTGTTTACCTTCTAAGTGCTTTGTGTACAGGAAGTAAATATGGCAAACCATAGCAACAGGAATGTCTGTACATATGTGTCCTTTTCTATAACTATGGCAAGTTATGATTTGTAAGGAAAAAATTTCTAACACAATATTTGGCCAATATAATAGGGCAAAAGCATTGTTAATTCTGATATGTTTGACACATTGTTTTATACTCAATCTAAAAAGCCATGCTCTTAACTGTGATACTTGTGTGTAGATTCGAATTTATTACATACTTGTGCCACTTTAGCGATTCCGTAAAAATGGTATTACACGGTTGTGTTTTCCTGACAATTATTTAAAATAACTTAAAATATTTGTTACTTTTTGTTGATTCAAAATTTGTGAAAATAGATTTGCAATTTGATACCTAAATACCATGTTGTCAATAACATAAAAATATTACATCAAAATGTTATAGTAATTAATACCTTACTTGGAATGATATTTGTCAGTTTATAGATATCAGTTCTGTTGACCCATGCTAATGTTGAAATTTAATTGGTTTATCAAGTTACATTTCCAGATGAATGAAAACTCAAGTCAGTCTGGATAAATCACTCTGTGATTATATTACATAGCATTTCAACACTTGACCACATATAAACTGTTGCTTTTCTTAATAGCTTTCGACATTTAAGTCTTCTTCAGAAAATATTGATAATTGATGTTTATAAAAGCAACATTTCTAAACACTTGACCATAAAAAATAACAAAACTGTGCAAATGGTGCTTACTATGAATTGTATTTGATTAGCCTTTTTGCAGTCAGAACTGTAATTCTTTAACTTATTTAGTATATTCCCCTTGAACATTTCTATGAATTACAGAGTATATCCAAAATGTTGTGCTCACTTTAATTTTACAGTCAAACCTGTGTTAAAAAAACACCTTTGAATATAGATAACCCTGCAAATAAAGGCCACATTTTGATAACCCTTCATTAATAAAATGTGATAATGTAACCTCCGTATTATGTCCACTTATCTATAAAGATCATTATTTGAGCAGCGTCATGACAAAACCAACATAATGGGTTTGCGACCAGCATGGATCCAGACCAGCCTGCGCATCAGCACAGTCTGATCAGGATCCATGCTGTTCGCTTACCAACTCAATTACAAGTAGAGAAACTGATAGCAAACAGCATGGATCCTGATCAGACTGCGCAGGCTGGTCTGGATCCATGCTGGTCGCAAACCCATTATGTTGGTTTTGTTGTGACGCGGCTCATTTGTCTCCCCCCCTGGCTGGTCTTTCTTCACAGGTTTGACAATTTGACAGCTTTTTTATCATTCCTTACATTTTTTTGTGCTAAAGGTAATATTCATAGATCATTTACATCATTTATTTATATTATACATGAAATTGTTCATATTTAAATTGAAATTGTTCATATTTACATAAAATTGTTTTATATTTATATGAAATTGTTCATATTTACATGAAATTGTTCATATTTACATGAAATTGTTCATATTTACATGAAATTGTTCATATTTACATGAAATTGTTCATATTTACATGAACTTGTGCCTTGTTTGAAGAATCTGTCTATTCAACACTGTGATATCTAGTTTTTTGTCGAATACATTTTTTTAATGAACTAATTGTTTGTTGTGTTTGTAATTTCAACAAAACCAAAACTTATAAAACAGGAAAGGAGATTATTTAACATGTTCAATGTTTTGTACATGTAGTTGTTATTCTTAAAACAGTCACTGTACCTATGGTAGATTATATCTTTTAAGAAATGATTTTTTTTACACAGATTACATAGTATGAATACATAGATACTGTGTCAGTTGGCTTTAGTTTGATTTCTTTGATAACAATAACATAACACGATAGGCCCATGACCCTTCACCAGAGAGGGTTTAAATCCTGTCCTGGAGTTTTGATTGTTTCATGTGAGGAAGCTTTACAGCAAGCTTACAAAAGGTTGGTTGTTGTACTTGGGTGCCTACTCTTGTCTGAATTAATGCAGGAAGAGACACTGAAAGTCTTGTTCCACCAAGAAAGCTGGAAAGTTGCCATTTGACTTCTACAGTGTTGGTTTGACTGAAAATCCAACAAAACAAATAAGGGCATGCTTGTTTGGATGGGTCCAACATGGAAGACATTTATGTCTTGAATTTCTTTTTTGGTCAAGTTCCATACGTCACATCCAGGCAGTAAAGGTCATATGGTGACTATCAAATTTAAATGGTGGAGGGATACCTCAGTCTTTGAACCTCTAACCTTAGTTTAAGCTAGACTGAAAACTTTCTCTATAGCAAAATTCGAAGTCTGTGGCTGGATTCAAACAGACAGCAATAAAGAAAGTTATTCAAAGCCAACAACCTTAATCACATGGACACAGGGGACTGTTGTGTGTTCAAAACCTATCTAAAGTCTAGATAATGAAATTTGAAATTGTAAAAATGCCTTTGGATAAGTTCATTTCACTGCAATAGTGCTCACTTGCAGAATAATTCATAGGCCAACAGCATGAATGTTTCTACTTACTCCTTTATTTCTATTATGGTATTTTTTGTCCAAGATGACATTAAAATATAATATTAGATGTGACATAAAACTATATATGATAGTCAAGGTATTGAAGTATTTGCTAATGAGTGGAGAAAATGTAAAGGTGGCTCGAAAGCTCTGTCAGTAGAGCCTCGGAATGATATTCCCGGGTTCAAGTCCCAATCAGGCAACACATATTCTCACAGTCAGCCTGTGACATGATAAAAGAAGTACACAACATGTCTTTACAAAACATTTTATTTATTCTCAGCTGACATTTATTCTACTTTAAAATGAAGCAAAATATTCAAATACAACAGTTAATTTATTACCTCCCTTTAATAATTTCTTCTCTAGATCAATATATGACCATCTTTTATCCGTCATTTGAATGGTACAAATAGATTATCTTTTTTATTTTTCAGTTTGAAATGCCAGAAATATCTATTGCTCAAGGGTAGTATTGATCAAGTTGTTTTTTCTAGTACCTGTTTACCTGTTAAAATTAACTAATCAAGGGAAGTAACTGATGACTGCAAATAATTTGCCAAAAAGAATGGAAGACAAATGGTGTTGTTATGGCAACGGCTGCCATCATATAATCAACTCTGTACACATTTGATTACACATATGTCTAGCATAATACTACAACCACCTTGAATATTAAAGTGATATTTTTAGGACTCTTAAAACTAAATTAATGAAATTGTTTCTATACAAAAACAAAAACAAATTTACCCACAGAAATGTATTCATATTAATACAATGCAGATGAGAAAATGTATAGATTTTGTTTTTATATATATATCTAAAGAGTTCTTTCCATACTTGAAGAATAATTTATTAATTGTTGATGTTTTCAAATTTAAACTAGGACAAAAATTGAACCCTAAATTTTAGGACTATCAAGTTTTTAAGAATTGCAAACGTTAATCAAAAGGCGTTTAACAGAACATCTAAGCTTTTTACATAAACACTCATTTACACACACTCTCAGTCTTCTAAAGGATTCATATAACCATGTGTAGCAAAATTATGTACATATAAGGCACATGTGTTTGCATAGAAAATAAAGGCACTATTACATAATAGATTAATCCAACTTTATAGTAAATATTTCTTAGAAATGTAGCCATACTTCATCTTGTTTTGATTTTTGCCTCAACATTGTATTCCTCCCAAAGAGGAAGTCTGTGTCTGCGCTTGATTCATGTAGTAAATAAGTCTGTCTTGATTGGAAATGATTGAATAATAACAATGTTCCTAATATTTTGACCAGCTCTTAACTGGTATGTACCAAATTAATACTACTTTGGTCAGATGGTTGTCTTTGGGAGGAATACGGTACCTTCTTCCATGAATAATGTTGTATAGAATTGTATGATTAATTTTAATAGTCTGTATAGAAAAGTCACGCAAAGAAAAGCTCGACTCTATGCCAGTTTTGTACATGGGTTTTGTACATATCGGGCAGTATTGACTAGAAGACACTCAACCATGGTTCAACTTTCAAGCATAATGCATAAAGCATCATTTTGGTAATAGCACCATATGAAATCAGTATATAAAAATTGCTAACTATACACATGTATTTTCAAATAAAGTCTATAATACAATGAAACACATACAGAACAAAAAACAAAATACAGTATATCCCTAAAATAAAGAGATAAATACTTGAATCACAATGGAAGATGTAAATTAAACATACATGACTGAATTCTCAAATTAACTAATGAAAATGTCTATGAAAGAGTATAAAATTTATCAAATTCTCTTTCTCTCAGAAGCTTTACAAATTTTCAAGCCTTTATGGTAATATGATCATGGTTGTAGAGACGCTTTACCTAGAAAATCTCATACACACTTGACAACGACTTATTCTCATTCTAAGATTTCCCGCTTTAAGAGTTTCTGCTAAAGGAGTTCTAAATTGAGCGTTACTATCTATAGTCGCTAGCCAGTAACTCGTTGACGTGGAGTAATAGTTGCACGATCCACGTCCGTGACATTCTATCAGAGGAGTGGCACGGAAATCTTCGAGACAGGAACCAACCGATGCAAGATCAGTACCAGCTCCATCCCCACCAGCACCGGTTCCCTGCAAGAAAGAATCAATTACAAATAAATGAAACAAACAAATATATGAAATAAAAATCTAAATGATATCAAATGATAGAGAAAAGGAACAAAATGTATGTTAAACAATCAGAACTTATTATTTCTAGCAATATTTAATGTTTAAAAATAAATAATTAATTCTACCAGTAAAATATATAAAGACAATTTTATTTAATCATTTTAATTTGACTGAATTCAACTTAAATCTTCTTTTGAATTATATATACTTGTAAAATATTATTTTTGTATCTTACACTTGTAAAGGATTTTTTGTGTATCTTAGACAGTATTGGTTCATGTAACCACGTTTCAACCAAATAAAGTAGTCAAGAAAATATCAACAAGTAAGTGTATTATACCATGAGGAAACTGTATCCAATCCAGAGACCAGTCCAGCCAATAGGACAGTCTGGAATTCTCATTGTCTGACTGTGTACAGCTATTATCTGAAAAAGAGCAAGAAATAATGAAAATCACTTAGAATCAGTCTGGCATTCTCATTGTCTGACTGTGTATAGCTATTATCTGGAAACACAGCAAGAAATAATGAAAATCACTTAGAACAAGTCTGGAACTTTTATTGACTGTGTTCAGTTGTTTTGTTTTTTTTTAAGGATTATTTATAGCACCTCTATCAAGTCTGTAATTTCCAATCTTTTGAATGTAATCCTGAGCTTTTCCTTTTTGATGATTACATTGGGCAATTTCTATGGTTCCTAATGCTATATTAGTTTTTAAGGCATTTTTTTTATATAATCAGTGACATTGATAAGAAAAATTTCCAAAATGCTTAAATCGAACTGTTAATATATCAATTAATGTCAAATGTTTTACCTCGGACGGAGCTTCACAGACCACACATCTGCTGATATACGGCTCAATCTGATTGCCCTCTACAGGGTCCATCATGGCCGTCATTGGCTCGGGCGTGGACAACCAGTAGCTGTAGTCCCCACGCCATGCCACATTACAAACATTGTTGATGTTACAGAACATGAATGGCATAGTGCTAAACCGACGCAGACAACTTCCGGGCTGACCTAGAAAAACAAAAATAAAAAATTTGTATGAAAATTCATTACCTTTCCCTTTTAAAAATCCCTTCATTTATCACATAAGGATCTGGTTATCTTGAATGTTTAAAAAATCATTATAATATAATAAGGAGTGAATTGTAATAATATGAAAGGTCATTTAACTTTTTTGTTAAAGACAAAAATTATTCTGACAGTATATGACAGTCATTCAATAATTTGGTAAGCATTTGTTTGTACAAGCTATAAAGTATATACAAGTGATTTCATTATTTATATCTTATAACAGATACTGACTGAGCTCTTGACATATAAATCGTCACCTTGGTGCAGTAATAGTTTTACTCCCATTGAAATCTAATAGGAGTTAGTATGTTACTGCACTAAGAATGATGGCAAAATGTTTCAAAAACAAATTCTTTATGAGAGTAATCTTAGTTTTTGTAAACATCTGGTGATATCTTAACAAAAATTGCCTTTTAATTTTTCCAATAAAAGGAATAGTATTATAAAATAGTTTTAAACATTTTTTTTTTTTAATTCTCATTTTCATCTGACATTCCTTTTAAGTGGCTCATTAAAAGAAAACAACAATTTTCAGGATTATAATTATTAACATTTAAAAATTCATCATAAGTAGGTATGTTAAGATGGTAGCTATTTAGGAGAATAATGAAGTGTGATTATCACATGCAGATATTATACTATAAGGGAGGTCATGCACTTTGTTATAAAAATCATGATATATAATATAGACTCTTAAGTCAAATGAGCTAGTGAAAAGGAAGAACAAAGGTAAGTTTTTTTCTAAGTAATATTTATCTCTATGGAACAAACCATCAACATCTCCGACTAGGAAGAACTTGCAACCCGGACCCCCCCAAACACACACACACACTGCTATGGGTTCAAATCCCACCAGGAAGTTTGGGAAGATGCTATCCAGCTAGCTTACAGAAGGTAAATGACATCACGTCAAAATATTACCATTGTTACAGAGTCGCAGAAGCGGCAAGGGTATGTGATAAATTCTAATATAAAATGTTTCACCTTTAATTAAATTACATGTATGACAAAATTTCTCTTTTCATGAATGGGTGAAAGTTGGAAAATTTTAAAAATCCCGATTATGCATTTTTTCTATACTTGAACATAGCAAATAGAAGGCTTTCAGGAGACTGAAAATCCTGAACTTCAGGAATAATCCTGAAAACTTTCACCCATGCATACCCATTTAAACCCAACCCCAAAATAAAGTCCAAACAATACCCCAAAAAAATATAAATTTCAACCATTCAATGATTAAAAAAGTTCTGTTTTTAATGAAAGAATGAAATGTAATTAACACAGTACATATAACACATGTATGATCACTGACATCTTTCACGAATATACCTAATTCCTGACCATGAGTCTTTCCGTTACCCTGAACGTAGGCAAACGAATAGCCCTCCCACATCAGGACTGTCCCCTGTGGACATCTCGGCTGGAAACGATTCTGACTATGTCTATAAACACAGCATACAGTAATATATTGTGTACAAATATTGCACACAATCATGTGTAATACTACATAGTGTAAAAATATTACATGCAAGTCTTACACAATGTGTTATGTTAGAATTATTGCATTCATATTTACACTGATCATGCCTTTATTACACATTACTATGCAATACAATGTTAAATCATTATAACTAATTGGATTGTAACATAATACATAAGAATACTTTCTTTCTTATTCCTAACATTAAATCCCCAAAACATTGACCCTAGAGAAGCTCTGAATCTCGCTTAACACTGACCCTAGAGAGTAGCTAACATTGACCCTAGAGAAAAGCTCAAAATCTCTCTTAACATTGACCCTAGAGAAAAGCGCACATTGACCCTAGTAAGCTCAGAATCTCTCATAACATTGACCCTAGAGAAAAGCTCTGAATTTCTCTTAACATTGACCCTAGTGAAGCTCAGAATCTCTCTTACCCTTGACCCTAGAGAAAAGCTCTGAATCTCTCTTAACATTGACCCTAGAGAAAAGCTAACATTGACCCTAGAGAAAAGCTCTGAATCTCTCTTAACCTTGACCCTAGAGAAAAGCTCAAAATCTCTCTTAACATTGACCCTAGAGAAAAGCTCAAAATCTCTCTTAACATTGACCCTAGAGAAAAGCTCAAAATCTCTCTTAAAATTGACCCTAGAGAAAAGCTAACATTGACCCTAGAGAAAAGCTCAAAATCTCTCTTAACATTGACCCTAGAGAAAAGCTCAAAATCTCTCTTAACCTTGACCCTAGAGAAAAGCTCAAAATCTCTCTTAACATTGACCCTAGAGAAAAGCTAACATTGACCCTAGAGAAAAGCTCAAAATCTCTCTTAACATTGACCCTATAGAAAAGCTCAAAATCTCTCTTAACATTGACCCTAGAGAAAAGCTCAAAATCTCTCTTAACATTGACCCTAGTAAGCTCAAAATCTCTCTTAACCTTGACCCTAGAGAAAAGCTCAAATTTCTCTTAACCTTGACCCTAGAGAAAAGCTAACATTGACCCTAGAGAAAAGCTCAAATTTCTCTTAACCTTGACCCCAGGGAAAAGCTCAAAATCTCTCTTAACATTGACCCTAGAGAAAAGCTCAAAATCTCTCTTAACCTTGACCCTAGAGAAAAGCTCAAAATCTCTCTTAACCTTGACCCTACTGAAGCTCTGAATCTCTCTTAACCTACCAGATAAGGATCAAATCTATCTAAAAATCAACAACCGGTACACAATTTTATATCATTAGCTGCAGCAAAATCATCGAAATGAATGATTCAGAAATAAATTGTGATATTGTGCATTAAATTTAATCATATCACTATTCCAAGTTTTTGAATATTTCTTGCAACAAATTGTGAAAATAAATACAGCTATTCTGCTAGTTGTGATGCTTTAGGAAAGACCTTTAAAACTAATTGAAACTACACTCGGATGTTTACACCAAAGTTCTTCTTATATAAAGACCTATATGCAATGTTCAATAAAGTTTCAGCTAGAATATTCAGATGTCTGAGTACAGAATTGATCTGCCCTGTTTTATACAGTCAGCAATGGTAAAATTTGAATAAAATAAAATTGTTTGGATAAAAAAGAAACTAATGAGGGACAGGTACACACACTGATGTTATATCCTTCACTTACATCAGAAGAACATATTCTGTGTATTCTGGAGCAGTTATATCAATCAAACAGCCATGCCTATAAATCAAGCAGAACATCAGCACACATCATGCAAAAAGTACATTTATGCCAGCATGCAGGTGATATGACTAAATCATTATCATGTCTCCCACCAGAATGACCTTTGAGTTTGTATTTTAATTATCTATATCTAAATTAATGACTTATTTTGAGTCATGACTTTTACCTAGATCCTGAGAATGTGCTCGCTGGTTGCCTACAACGTAAGAGAGAGAATATCCGTCCCACACCTTGGCGGTACCCGAGGGACAATCGGGTAGGTATGTCTGCTGGCTATGTCTGTAAAAGTATCGGTACAATGTATCACGTGATCAAACCTGTAAACGGCCGTCTATAAATAGTGCCATTGTAATCTTAGTTTCCATGTTTGTTTTTTACTTTTATACAAGCTAAAAGTCAGTAATTCAGATATACATTCTGCACACCAGAAGTTTCACTGTTTGTCCAAAACTTGTCTTACTTCTTAAAAAAATTGTTGAAAACTTGCCTTACTTCTTAAAAAACCCTGTCTACTTTACCAAATGAAATAAAATCTTAAAATGTTTTGAAGTGTTAAACCCCATTTATATTCAATGAGCAAACTATTAACCTATTTTTCTCCATATACCCCTCAAAAATGTCATAGAATAATCTTCTTTTTAATTTTATTGTTTTCTTTAAGTGAAACAAACCCTTATGGCTTAAAGTTTTGTCAATTTGCAAAAATTCATGACTAATCTCATAAATCAATATTATTAGTTACTTTAAAAGTTTTAAAAAAAATTCTGGAAGAAACCCACATCATACTGGTAATTTATAAAATATTCAAATATCTATTCAATGAAACAATGACGAATTACAAGTATTGAAAATGATTTGAGCTGCGTGACAACAAAACCAACATAATTGGGTTTCGACCAGCATGGATCCAGACCAGCCTGCGCTTCCGTGCATTCTGATCAGGATCCATGCTGTTTGCTTACAAACTCTATTTCAAGTAGGGACACTGATAGCAAACAGCATGGGATCCTGATGCAGACTGCGCAAACCCATTATGTTGGTTTTGACATGACACAGCTCATTTTTATGATCAAAATGAGAGCATTTCAATAGCAAAAAGCATTCAAAAAAAGACATTACCTTTACACATTAAAACATATAATACAGCAAATCAAAATCCAAAATTTACTTCAGCCTGACTGCCAAATATAGACAACACAATTATACATAACTTTAAACTGCCAAATCTTCACATAAAAAGGTTTCCATTTAAACATCAAATATTTCATATAACAAGAGGGCCATGATGGCCCTGAGGTCGCTCACCTGTATATAGGCCCCCAACCCCCAATGTTGCAGGGCCAATTTAACCGAAGGGCTTTCATTTGCACAAACTCAGTAGACACCCATAAAAGATGTTTCATGCTAAAGATCTAAGCTCTAGCTCATTGGGCTTTTTGAAAGAAGATTTTTTTTAAGTTTTAACTATACACATATAGTTAAAAACAATGACACCCCTGGTGCCGGGCCAGTTTTGACCCCAGGGCTTTTATTTGAACAAACTTTGTAGACACTTACTAGACGATGTTTCATGCTTAATATCTAAACTCTAGCTATTTGGGTTTTTTCAAAGAAGATTTTTAAGTTTTTGCTATACACATATAAAGAAAATCAATGACCCCCGGGGCGGGGCCAATTTTGACCCCAGGTCTTGTATTTGAACAAACTTTGTAGACACTCACTAAAAGATGTGTCATGGTTAATATCTTAACTTTAGCTATTTGGGTTTTTTCAAAGAAGATTTTTAAGTTTTTGCTATACACATATAAGGAAAATCAATGACCCCCGGGGCGGTGCCAATTTTGACCCCAGGGCTTTTATTTGAACAAACTTGGTAGACACCTAGAACATGTTTGATGCTAAATATCTTAGCCATAGCTCTTTGAGTTCTTTAAAAGAAGATTTTTTAAGTTTTTACTATATGCATATAGGCAAAATCAATGACCCCTGGGGCGGGGCCAATTTTGACCCCAGGGCTTTTATTTAAACAAACTTGGTAGACACCCATTAGAACATGTTTCATGCTAAATATCTTAGCTCTAGCTCTTTTGGTTCTTTAAAAGAAGATTTCTTAAGTTTTTACTTAATATGCATATAGGGAAAATCAATGACCCCCTGGGGCGGGGCCAATTTTGACCCCAGGGCTTTTATTTGAACAAACTTGGTAGACACTTATTAGAACATGGTTCATGCTAAATATCTTAGCTTTAACTCTTTTGGTTCTTTAAAAGAAGATTTTTTAAGTTTTTACTATATGCATATAGGGAAAATCAATGACCCCCTGGGGCGGGGCCAATTTTGATCCCAGGGCTTTTATTTGAACAAACTTGGTAGACACCTATTAGAACATGTTTGATGCTAAATATCTTAGCCATAGCTCTTTGAGTTCTTTAAAAGAAGATTTTTTAAGTTTTTACTATATGCATATAGGGAAAATCAATGACCCCCCGGGGCAGGGCCAATTTTGACCCCAGGGCTTTTATTTGAACAAACTTGGTAGACACCCATTAGAACATGTTTCATGCTGAATATCTAAGCTGTAGCTCTTTTGGTTCTTTAAAAGAAGATTTCTTAAGTTTTTACTTAATATGCATGTAGGGAAAATCAATGACCCCCTGGGGCGGGGCCAATTTTGACCCCAGGGCTTTTATTTGAACAAACTTGGTAAACACCCATTAGAACATGTTTCATGCTAAATATCTTACCTCTAGCTCTTTTGGTTCTATAAAAGAAGATTTTTTAAGTTTTTACTATATACATAGAGGAAAAATCAATGACCCCCCGGGGGCGGTGCCAATTTTGACCCCAGGGCTTTTATTTGAACAAACTTGGTAGACACCCATTAGAACATGTTTCATGCTAAATATCTTAGGTTTAACTCTTTTGGTTCTTTAAAAGAAGATTTTTTAAGTTTTTACTATATGCATAAAGGGAAAATCAATGACCCCCCTGGGGCGGGGCCAATTTTGACCCCAGGGCTTTTATTTGAACAAACTTGGTAGACACCTATTAGAACATGTTTGATGCTAAATATCTTAGCCATAGCTCTTTGAGTTCTTTAAAAAAGATTTTTTAAGTTTTTACTATATGCATATAGGCAAAATCAATGACCCCCCGGGGCGGGGCCAATTTTGACCCCAGGGCTTTTATTTGAACAAACTTGGTAGACACCCATTAGAACATGTTTCATGCTAAATATCTTAGCTGTAGCTCTTTTGGTTCTTTAAAAGAAGATTTTTTAAGTTTTTACTATATGTATATAGGGAAAATCAATGACCCCCCGGGGCGGGGCCAATTTTGACCCCAGGGCTTTTATTTGAACAAACTTGGTAGACACTCACTAGAAGATGTTTCAAGCCAAATATCTAAGCTCTAGCTCTTATGGTTTTTTAAAAGAAGATATTTAAAGTTTTTTCTTTCGGTTGCCATGGCAACCAGAGTTCTGCATGGAATTAAATTCTTTGAACAATTTTTAAAGGTGACCACCAAAGGAACATTCCTGTGAAGTTTGGATGAAATTGGCTTAGTGGTTTATGAGGAGATGTCATTTAAAGTAAAAGTTTACGGACGGACGGACGGACGGCCGGACGCCGGACGGACGCCGGACGAATAGCGATCACAAAAGCTCACCCTGTCACTTTGTGACAGGTGAGCTAAAAAGCTTTTCATTTGAAAATAAAAAGTTTCATATCAAAAGCTTTCCATTTAACATCAAAAGCTTTCCATTTTGACATCAAAATTTTCATATCAAATGATTTCAATTTCAACATCAAAAGTTTAACCTCAAAAGCTTTCCAATTAACTAAAAAGCTTTTCATTTTAACATCAAAAGTTTCACATCCAATGCTTTCCATTTTCACAACAAAAGTTTCACAGCAAAAGCTTTTTATTAGACTATTAAAAGTTTCATGTCAAAAGCTTTTCATTTTAATGTAAAAAAAGTTTCATATCAAAAGCTTTCCATTTCAACATCAAAAGCCTTCAATGTAACATCAAACTCAAAAGCCTTCAATGTAATATCAAAAGCCTTCTATTTTTAACATCAAAAGTTTCACATCAAAAGCTTTCCATTTTGAAATCAACAGCCTTCTATTTTGAAATCAACAGCCTTCTATTTTGAAATCAACAGCCTTCTATTTTGAAATCAACAACCTTCTTTTTTGACATCAAAGTTATACTGGAGCAGTTTTATCATTGTTTTCTATAAGCCGCGTCACGACAAAACAACATATTGCATTTGCGACCAGCATGGATCCAGACCAGCCTGCGCTACCGCGCATTTTGATCAGGATCCATGCTGTTCGCTTACAAACCCTATAACAAGTAGGGAAACTGATAGCGAACAGCATGGATCCTGATCAGACAGCACGGATGTGCAGGCTGGTCTAGATCCATGCTGGTCGCAAACCCATTATGTTGGTTTTGTCGTGACGCGGCTCAATATCCTTTTTAAATTTTTTACAAAAAGATCATTTTGCATTCATTTTATAGAAGCTTTCAGCAACAATAAACAAGATTAATGTCATGCTGTAATCTGATGTCAAGGCAACAAAATATCAACAAATTACCACTTTTTTCTTATCTTATACCAACATTTAAAAGACACAACCTGAAAAATTCTTTTCTTAACCATTACTTTGACATTCACAAACTTTCAAGTGATCAAAGGGTATCACATATACACACAAAAAGTGCAACACACTTATGTATTTTGAATAGTCAATTCTATAATAAAAATATTTTTCAAGTAAATACTGTTGAATCATAAAAGACTGGAACAACATTTGGTGTTAACATAATTTATTCTGTTCCATTGTGTAGGAAGCTATAAGCTTATAGTCCAATCCTGGAACCAACCAGTACTGAGCAATGAATGTTAAGTTTTCTTGCTCAATGAAACAACGGCTTGTCCTAACGGGTTTCAAAGCACACGGCTAGAGATCATTTAATTTAATTTAGATTGTATGAGAACAATCATGTTTGTGGTGGAAATTTTTACATACATTACAGGTTGTACTATGTACACAACTGGTTGTACATGAAAAAGAATTTATGTTATAGTAGTGAAACATTTGATTATAAAAAAATGAAGAAAAAATAATCAACTCAGTTATTTGTCCTTTGTTTCAATAAGTACAATTAAATTCATCAAAAGAAAAATTACCTTGCAAAGAAAAGGCCTGGACCGCCAGTGGCGGCACCATCCGAACCTGGCAGACCTGCATCACCCGGTGGGCCGGTATTACCATTACGTCCCTGTAACCCAGGGAAACCGTCGTCACCTTGTTCTCCCTTTACCCCTTTAGGTCCATCCTCCCCTTGGAAACCACGGACACCCTTCTCGCCTGGTAAACCATCTAAACCTCGTAAACCTACAGGGGGGAATATATCAGATAGATAAATATCACATATAAGAAATATGACACCCATAGAACAGAAAGTGATTTAGCCTTTGCCACCATGCCCATTAGCGCAGACTGGTCCCAACTAGTGCAGTCTTTCCCAAGCCTCTTTAATTAGTAGTTTAAATTATTTTTTTATTTCGACAATGAAATCCCTTTTTTTTTTGGTTGTTCTTAACCTTTAAAGGGAGACAAATCTATTTCACAAATTCAGCAGTTTAATGGTTTAAAAACATCAATCTGTAAAACTAACTCCTCTTAAGTGAAGAATTTAATTTAACATTTATTTCTGAAATGAAAAATGTCCGGTTAATAGACAGGTTCTTATGTAGACCAGAATTATTGTTACATAAACAGACAAATTGTATTGTTCTACAAATAGACAAGATCAATAGTTGTTATATGGAATTAAGCAAATGGGAGTTTTTCCAAGCTTATTCTGAAGTACAAACTTTTACTGTTATAGATTCACAAAGCGCTACTGCCGTTTACAAACAATTAGTCAACCTGTTGCACTAAATATGCGACGTCATTATAGGCTTACCATGTGACATAATGACTGGAGCTAGATAAGTTTATTCGGCAAGGCTTTATCCAGCTGATAGCAGTAGAGGAATAAATTAGCCGCAGTCTGATCAGGATCCATGCCGTTCGCTTACAAACCCTTAACAAGTAGAGAAACTGACAGCAAACAGCATGAATCCTGATCAGACTGCGCAGATGCGCAGGCTGGTCTGGATCCATGCTGGTCGCAAACCCATTATGTTGGTTTTGTTGTGACACGGCTCAAATATTGTTTCAAGAAATAAATAGAATTTATTGCTGTACTGCTGTATATTTATATAAATAGACCGGATTTATTACTTGTGCAGCACTTACCAGGTTGTCCCTTGATGCCGTCTAATCCACGAAATCCCTGCCTACCACGATCACCCTTCTGTCCGAAGTGAATCTGCGTAATTTCTCCAAGGAATGGATCCCCAGGTGCTCCCTTCATACCTGTCCAACATACATAAAACAAAACACTAATTATATGATAAACAATGACAATATAACTCACCTGTATGACACTTTGATAGCATTTCACACAACAGTGTTCATATTAACAAGCAGTTCAAGTTGAATAGCTGAAAAAACTCCAGTACTGCTCTGCAAACTATTTGCAGTCACAAGGTGGTTTTGTAAATTTTTAGCTATCATGGATCGAAAAAGCAAACTTCACCACGTCACCAGTGTCCATGTATTTAACTGAATAGTTTATTTCTGTGTGTCCTTTTCTGGTTGAAATATTGCCTTTAATATTGATATGATAGCAGCATAGTCTGCCATCTTTGACCTAAAATCACCTTCCCTATCACCCGAAGTCCTGCCATTACCTTAAAGCTCTGCCATGGGTCCTTAAAGATGCTATCTATAGTTACTGAATTTTTCACAAAGGCAAAGAAGGAAATTTTAAACCAATGAACAGAATTTTCCTAATCATTGCATGATGTAAAAGATTTATATGAATCAGAACTGAAAAAGATGTTTGAGAAAAAAAACAAAAAAAAAACATTTAAGTGAATTTTAATTGAGATACTTTTTTTGAAAAAAAAATAAATAAATAAATAAATGAAATAAAATAAATAAAAACAAGAAACATGGCAATGCCATGAAACCAGGTTTTCAATTATCACCATTGTAGATAAATATGTTGAAGTTGAAATACAAATACAAGCAACAAACAATGTAACTATGTGCAATGTAAATCATGATTAATGTAGGAGGAATCACACACAGAAGAATTGTTCACTATATATTCTGTATAAGGGAAAAAAACAAAGGGCCATAATTAGGTAAAAAATTATCCAATCACAAAACCCCGACACTATGCGCCAAGGCACTTGATGAAAAAGCTTTTGTGAAAGTAAGATCAAAATCCATTGAGAAATGTAGGAGTTGAGCATAGAAGAAATTGTTCATTATATATTCTGTACAAGGAAAAAAAACAAAGGGCCATAATTAGGTCAAATATTATCCAATCACAAAATCCCGACACTATGCGCCAGGGCACTTGATAACAAAGCTTCTGTGAAAGTTTGGTCAAAATACGTTGAGAAATGTAGGAGGAGTTGCGCACAGAAGAAATTATTCACTATAAATTCTATATAAGGAAAAAAAACAAAGGGCCATAATAAGGTCAAATATTATCCAATCACAAAATCCCGACAATATGCGCCAGGGCACTTGATAACAAAGCTTCTGTGAAAGTTTGGTTAAAATACGTTGAGAAATGTAGGAGGAGTTGTGCACAGAAGAAATTATTCACTATAAATTCTATATAAGGAAAAAAAACAAAGGGCCATAATTAGGTCAAATATTATCCAATCATAAAACCATGACAATATGCGCCAGGGCACTTGATGAAAAAAAGCTTCTGTGAAAGTTTCGTCAAAATCCATTGAGAAATATAGGAGGAGTTGCGCACAGAAGATATTGTTTACGCCCGCCTGCCCGCCCGTCGACATACCTCAGTCTAATAACCAGTTTTTTACTTCGGAAAACCTGGTTAACAACCAAAAAATTGGGGGCACAGTCCTACTTTTTGAGATAAATGCCAAAGAAAGTGAGTTTTGCTTGTTTAAGGCCAGTCTCGTATATAAATTACCTTCTCAGATAATAAAACTGAGCCGCGTCACGACAAAACCAACGTAATGCGTTAGCGACAAGCATTGATCCAGACCAGCCTATAACAAGTAGAGAAGCTGATAGCGAACAGCATAGATCCTGATCAGACTGAGCAGATTTGCAGGCTGGTCTTGATAATCCATGCTGGTCGCAAACCCATTATGTTGGTTTTGTCATGGCACGGCTCAAAAGTATTGATTGTTCTATATAATATCACCATTACAAGCATATATTATTATATGAGATACTGACCTCTAGAGCCATTGTCTCCTCTTAAACCGTAGAATCCATCCAAGCCATCGTTTCCCCTCATACCTTGCAGACCAGGTAACCCTGGTAACCCATCTTCACCACGTTCTCCCTCAACTCCGGGGAACCCTGACAAACCACGATCACCCTGAAATATATACATTAATAATGTCAATAATTTACTTTTAAATTTATACACCAATAGTGTATATTATAATATTGATAGAATATCATTATACAAATGTAGAAACACTGATTGAATCTGTGGCGTTTTGTCATTGTTTTTAATTATTCATAGTTAATATGATAGCAAAAATAAAATATTGATGTTACAATTTCATATGCATTTCTGTTTGATATCCTTAAACTATTTTGACTTCACATGTTCAAATATACAGTAAACCTTCTAATCCGGAAACCTTTCAAGTCTGAACTTTTCTTCTGGTTTGGACAAGTTTCAGATTAGGCAGGTTCCACTGTACATAAATATTGCCAATCATTGATTTTTTCAAAGTGATATGTATGCTAGTTTTTTCACTGCTCAGTTGAGCTGAATTAGTTTTATACTTCAAAAGATTGACATTCATAATGTGATTTATCAACAATTGATAAAGGAAAATAAAAAAACTATCTAAAACTAAAAAAGGCTGCCCCACTATTTTCATAGATTGCACTTTGCTGATCAAACCCCAAAGGCAATTTATAAAAAATTTCCTTGGGTAACATGGTTTATTTATTATCTTTGTATATTAAATTACACAATTGTAAAATATTATAGCAAAATGTCAAATTATTTTCACTAAAACGATTACATTTGCAATTTATATGTCAATGGGCACAAGGTCACTTTAATATCTATGCCAATATTCAAAATCAAACCAAAGTAACAATGTATCCAACACATCATACTGAAAAGATGTTTTTCAGGGGCTAAAAATTACCAACTTGTGTAATATTGATTAAGGTATCTTAAATAAATTTTTACTGCTCAAATTTATTTTCAAACTGTTCTTCAAAACAATATGAAAAAAATCAACTGACCGGGAAGCCCTTAAAGCCTCGTGGTCCGTCTCTACCGAGACCGCCTTGCTCGCCGTTATAGCCTGGTTCTCCCTTCATACCATCTAAACCAAACAATCCTGGCCTTCCTGGGAAACCCTTTTCACCATTTTGACCTACAATACAATACATTATATTTAATTTCGTTTTGTATGATAATAATAGGAAATATCTAAAAGTAGAGACAGCATTTGAGCCACCTCATGACAAAACCAAAGTAATGCATTTGCGATCAGCATGGATCCAGACCAGCCGCACAGTCTGATCAGAATCCATGCTGTTCACTATCAGTTTCACTTCTTGTAATAGGGTTTGTTATTGAACAGCATGGATCCTGATCAGGATCCATACTGGTCGCAAACACATTACATTAGTTTTATCGTGACACAGCTCATTTTATTTTGCATGGCAAAAAATTACAGCTGCTCAGATTACTGTAAAAGGACTTTTTTTAGCTTACTTTTTTAATGAATAGTCTACATTTCAGATTTGTGTATTTTTTATAGAGGCATCCATTTTGACTCTCTTTCCAAGTATTTTTAGAACAGATTGAAGCAATTTAATTGGCTCTTTTCAATTGTAATTAACAAATCGATTTCTGTTTTTTTTTAAATAACTGTTATCCAATCAGTTGTAAATTCATTGTCTGTAAATGAAAAATGAACAAGTCTATTTAAGATATTAAGAATTTAACAATGCTTAAAATTGACGTTTAAGCCACTGAATACACTGAACTTCAATAATATACTGACCAGATCAGGGAAATAAAATCAATCCCACCTGCATCTGTGTGGAAAACTCATCAGTTTCTATCCTTAAAGCTGCTCTCTCAAAATATTTTTAAAAAATTGACATTTCTAAAATTCCTACTGGTTACTTCTCAATGTCCTTTACGTAAAATGAGAATTCAGTAGCTGTGTGTGTAGTTCTTCAACACGAGATGATGTTTTACAGAGTTTATTTCAAACAGGGAAATAGATGGGCAACAAACCTGGCAATCCTGACAGTCCATCCAACCCTCTCATTCCCTTGGCACCACCATAGCTATACCCGTCCTCTCCACGGATACCCGTCAGACCTGGTAACCCATCTAGTCCAGTTTCACCTACATACCCATCCAGACCGGGCAGTCCCGGCAAACCATTCGGTCCACGATCTCCGGGCAAGCCAGGTAGTCCTACAACAAGTTGAGGATATTAAAGGAGTTAAGGTTAAATACTGAATCTATTAAATGAATTGAATAAATAGATGATATGAATGAGTGTAGATTTAATACTTAATTTATTGAACTAGTTGAATTCCAGTCTCTGGTGATTACAATAAATTTAGTATTGAATCTACATGAATATAATATACTTTTTGTCACATATATAACTGTTTAAAAAGAGTTATTTTTCATTGACTCGCCCATAGTGTAACACTAATATTAGCACGCTATGTTTATATATAACGCAAATGATGTCATACCAAAGTGTTATTGTATCATAGTTTTGAGACCTGTCTGTTGATAATGTGTCTGAGTTAAATCGTATACATATACATGCACAGTGCATTAACTGGAGTGCAGGTATTAGTTACCCGCACTCCAGAGTATGCCTATTGATTGGCTCATTTTTGCTGGGGTTTACATATTGTGACGGCAGAGAAAGGGAAAGCGATAGAAATATCATATTCAGATGCTTGTTCATTGGTTACTTTTTCTGGGTTTTCATATTGTGACAACAGGGAACGTGATTTTATGTTGGACTATGATACAAAAGAGTACAAATCAGATAGCCTCATGATTCGATGCTCTTTCTATTACATACACTACTGGTTGGGGACCACCAAAACCGGACAACCACCAAACCCGGACGGCCCTGAAAATGCTTAACTTAGTATTTTCTTTGTTCAGTGGTTGTCGCTCACTTTTTTATCAACAATAAGTGCATGTTTCTTTTAAAATTAAGTAAATAGATTTATTTCAACCTCCGTAAATGGTAATATTTTAATGTCTATTTCAAGAATGTTGAAGTTGAAATTCGGGGGTCAAGAAAGCAATGCCTGACCTCATATTCCAGCTATAATCATTTGCAGAGTGAATAATAGAATATCCAAAACTTCAGCATTTGTTGCTGACATATTGCATATCATGATACAAATCAAAAATCAAAACACCCAAGCTTTTATCTGAATTAAATCACATCATGTACATATATGTCCGGACACATGGTACTGTAGTGTAGACAATTTAGGTAACTTTGAAACCCTCCTTGTCGAGCCTCAGATATAAGTGTCAATACAATCGGAAATAAACAAACTAGTTTGTTAGTTAGGAGAATAACCCAGCTGAACTGTGTCAAATTGTTTGGCCTCTAGGTTAAAAATTATGAAATCTGTACGGAAAAATGTCCCTAAAGTGTCCGGTTGATGGTCCCCGACCAGTAGTATAATATTATTTCCATTAAATGGCTTTATTACACTCCTGCGCCATGATTTATGTGATAAACACAAATATAATATATTTAAAATCACTTTTAAACTAATTATTTCTCTAAAGGAACAAATGTCCACTGAAGCATTTTTCTTAATACATCTTAAGTATAATTATAATGGACATACATGTACATGGTTGAGCCAAAAGATATATCAACATTACCAAAGGTCCTTCCCTAATCTTAATAGAAACTAATTACCTAAAGATATCTTACCTAAACTTATCTTACGAAAATTATTAAACCCAAAATATCATTTCCTTTAAATTTTTCCCTTAAAAAAAAATTTTTACAAAAGTGTGGGAATTTTTGAATTTTTTTTTAGAAAAAAATTTCTAATTTTGAGATAGGGGCTTCATAAAAAAACTCCCCTAAGGGCCAAGAAATTAAAAAATTAAAATTTTCAAATCTTTCAAAATCAAGTGTTTTAACTAAATGGGGAAAATTTGGAAAAATATTTAAAAGAAAATATATTTTAGAATTAAAGATAAAATTGTTTTATGTGTGACTATTAGCAGAATTATTTTCTATCCCCAAAATGTCCAAAAAAAAACCCCAGTGAGTCCCCTTTTAAGTTATTTGAATAAAAGAATAGGGGTTTTACCTTCAGGGTTTTCCCAGGGTCCCGGGGAAACCATCATACCACATCCCCTTTTAACAAAATAATAAAAAAAATTTCAGTAAAATTAATTTTACAGCGACCCAATTAAAATAAAAATCCCGAACCCGGGGAAACATAATTCGATTAAACGACACAAATTAAATAATCCCGGAAATTGGGAAACATAGATTTTTAGTTTGAAACGAAAACCCAAATTTAAAAAACCCCCCGGAAATTTAAACATAATTTTCGTAACGACACAATTAAAAACTCCCGCAATTGGGAAAACAAAAAATTTTTGTTTGACAAAACAATTTAAAAACCCCCTTAATTGGGAAAAATAAAATTTTTAGCCCCCCACTAATTTTGCTGTTAAAAAAAAAACCCAAAAAAGTCACCCAATTTTCATTTTTGTTAAAAAGTATCATTTTAAAAACAAAATTCCCCCATTTAAACTGTAACGTTTAAAATTTGTTTCTTTCCAGGAAAAAAAACCAATAAAATTTTGATTTCTGAAAAACATTAATTTTGATTTAAACAAAAAACCCCTTTTACCTTCCCAAACAAATTTCAAATATTTTTGTAAATTTTTAAATTTCCCTTTTAATCAAAAAAAGAAAATAAGTTTGGTTTTCTTTTCAAATGTACACAAATAACCTAATTTGTTTTTTTTTTTAAAAAATTTTTCACGAAAACCTTTGGGATTTCCTTTTTAACCAATAAGCCCGGGAAATCCAGGGAAAAACCTGGTACTCCAACCCTAAACCCTCTTTTCCATTAGGGCCCGGCAAACCGGGGTAAACCGGTTTTCCCCCTTTTCGCCCCTCTTCCACCCAAATCCCCCTCTCACCTGAGGACCCTTTATTCCCTTCCATTCCAAAAATTCCCTTTACGCCAGGGAAAACCAAACTTCCCCCACTTCCCCCTCGACGACCAGGCTCACCCGGGGTACCATTTTAAACCCGGCTCTCCCCTTTAAAAACCCCAAATCCCGGCGCCAAATAAGCCCCTCCCTATCCCATTTAAAAAACATTTTGACATATTAAAAATTTTTAATCAAATTTTAACCCCCAAAAAATTTTTATACCAGTAAATTACAGTTTCAAATTTTATAAACCAATTTCATTCACCAAATACAACTAACAGTCCCAAAAAAAATAATTTTTCAATACTGGGATAAAATACAAAAATTTAAAAAAAGCCTTTAAATACCCCCACAAAAATTAACCAGTTCAACAAACAGTGCCCTGTTTGATGTTTTCCCACAACACATAAAATTTAAAAAAATAAGTATCCAAATGTTAAACTTGGGGCAGAAAGGGCAGATGACAGAGGAAATTTATCCCAAAATGTGGGCTCCCCAAAAATTAACAGGGACACAAAAAAAAAAAGAAAACAAAAAAACTCATAAAAATTTGCTTTTTGTTTTTTTAAAAATTTAAAAACTAAAAAATCAAATTACTCCCCGCCCTTTTGTCCCCGGGGAAACCTGGGAACCATCCTCTCCCCTTTCTCCTTTAAAAAACCCCGGGTTTTTCCCGGTTCCCCTTTTCACCCCTCCTTTCCATTAAAGCCATTTTCTTTTTTCTTTATTCCAAACAAATCCTGAAAAAAAACAAAATTTTTAAAAAAACAGTTTAATAAATTTAAAAAAAATGGTAGGGAAAATTCCCTTAAAACATGGTTTTATCAAGGGAAATTAAAAATTAAATTAAAAAGACCATTTTTTTTTTCCGATTTTAAAACATTTTTTTTTATTAAACTTTAAAATTTCAGTCCATCTAAAAAGGGGTTTCCCGAAAAAATTTTCCAAAATTTACCAATTCCTACACAAAACTGACCTCAACTAAAACCCCACATGAAAATTTTGAATTTTCATTAAAAAAGGAATATGACCAGTATTTTTTACCCGGGAGGCCCAATCTCCGGGACGACCTTTAAGCCCCTGGGAAGCCATTTTGTCCGTCTCTACCATCTACTCCAGGAGATCCGGGTCGGCCCTGCAACAATTAACACAAAATTTTTAAAGTATGATAAGTTTAATTTTAAACATTATCTAACCCATTTGAATTTAACATAGTTACGGGTTAAAGTGGTTTGGTCTACAAATTGGGCACATTTTTCCAAAAGTATTTCAAATATTGATAAAAACAAAAGAATGAAAACACTTTGATATTCTAATAAAATATTTCTGCAAAAAAAAAAAAAAAAAATGCTGATAGATTTACGTAAAATTCCTATTAAACGCCCCCGGGGGCTTCCAACAAAACGGGGGCTATATATATACAACACACAGTTTTTCCGTAAATCAAAAATTTCACTGTAAATACATTAGTGTTAGCAAAAAGTTTGGGTAATAACATTAAAAAAAAATTTTTTAATTTTTAAATTCATAAAATTTTACATAATTTTTTTTTACTTTTTAAAATTTCTATGGATTTTGAAGATTTAAAAAAATTTTGGGTTTAATTTAAAGAGTTCACAGATAGAAAGTTGTTTACCCCCAAACAAAAGGCCCGGGGCCTTTTTTAGGGGAAAGGGGGGGGTTTATTTTGAAAATTTTTTCAGTAATTCTATTTTATAAGAGTTAATATCAAAATGATCTCAAATTTAATTAAAAATTTTTTCCCCGAGAAAATTTTTTTTCACGTATGATACGAAATACTTATCAACATAATTTAAAACTATGTTTAACAGAACAATATACTTTAAAATTACTAAAAAGTTGTATTTGTTTAACAAAGTATCACTATCGTTTTTTTAAAAAAAAATTCCCTAAATAAAAATATTGCTAAATCGGGTTGCTAAAACCCCAATTGATCGATCTTATTCCTTGATTTTTTTTTAATTTAAATTTAATAAATTTAGGAAGCCTTTTCATTGTTACCTTGGTTCCCCGTCAATAAGAACCGTCCAAATTCTCCTGGTTGTCCCATTTTCCCCAGGGTAGCCCTGGGCAACCTGGTTCCCCTGCTCTTCCATCCTCTCCAGAAAATCCTGGTTTCCCCTGACATTCCTTTCCTGCCTTGATGCCCCATTCTTGTCCTGGGAGCCATCTCTGCCTGGGAAAACCAGCATTTCCTTGGTTCCCCCTTTAAGACCGTCTAAACCCTCTCGTCCAGGTAGA